GGGGGACTGCAGAAATTTATTTCTCACCAAAAGTCAGTTTACAAAGAGAAAAACTCACTCTTGCGTTTATTTACAAACTCCTTCACTAAGACACCTAAATCCTTTTCACATGGTACTACAGGGAAGGCAGGTGTCATCGTCGTCCCCTCCCCAAATCTTATATAGGATTTGCCCCTGTTGAAATTCACATTGTTAGTTGTGGTCCAGTTCTCCAATCTGTTAAGGTCATCCTGAATCCCAATTGTGTCTTCTGCGGCTTTAGCTACTCCTCCTAGTTTGGTGTCCTCTGCAAATTTGATGATAATCTCCTCAATTCCTTTGCCCAAGTAGTTTATTACTTTCCCCCTGCAAAGTTTAGCTCATGCATTGGGCTCTGGCCTATTTCCTGCAGTGCAAAGCAATCATTTAGCTTTTCCTGGATCTCTTTATTATTAATAATAATAATAATAATAATAATAATAATAATGGTAATGACAACAATAACTGAATTTATATACTGCCCTATACCTGCAGGTCTCAGGGTGGTTTATAGATAAAAATCAAAATATGAAACCACAAAATCCATAATCAAAATAAACCCCACATTTTAAAAGAGCAGAGGATATAGATAAACCTCAGTGCTTTTTTCTAAAAAAAATATGTTTAGGGGTATTCTAATTTTCCTACATGGGGAAGTGGGTGGCGCTGTGGGTTAAACCACAGAGCCTAGGACTTGCTGATTAGAAGGTCAGTGGTTTGAATCCCCGCGAAGGGTGAGCTCCCATTGCTCAGTCCCTGCTCCTGCCAACCTAGCAGTTTGAAAGCACATCAAAGTGCAAGTAGATAAATAGGTACCACTCTGGTGGGAAGGTAAACGGCGTTTCCGTGCGCTGCTCTGGTTCGCCAAAAGCGGCTTAGTCATGCTGGCCACATGACCCAGAAGCTGTACGCCGGCTCCCTCGTCCAGTAAAGTGAGATGAGCACCGCAACCCCAGAGTCGGTCAGGACTGGACCTAATGGTCAGGGGTCCCTTTACCTTACCTAATTTTCCTACTCATATTGAAATACTGCCCCTCAATGAGGCCAAACTTAGATTCACAAAATGTTTAGGGGTATGTTCCCCCCCCCAGAAGAAAAGGCACTGGATAACCTCAAGGTTGAACCGTGGTCTGAGGGGAACCTCCTTGTATCCCCTCCACACACAGAGAGAGCACAATGGATGTCCACAAAACCATTGTCAGCCAAACTTTACGTCTCCCCCGCCCCCTGCAGTGATGGCGCCTACACAAAGCCCACAGCCCACAGCCCCCCACCTTGGTCTCAAACCCCTGGCATTTCGGGGCTGGGAAAGGAGGAGGAAGGAGACTCTGTGCACCCACTGGTGGGTCCTGACTTTTTTCCTTCACAGGCCCCCTGAGCGGTTTACACAACCTCCCAATACATGGAATACTCTGCTTTGCACCAGCTGATAAGACTCTGGAGAAAATAATAATAATAATAATAATAATAATAATAATAATAATAATAATGAGAGCCAGTGTGGTGTAGTGGTTAAGAGCGGTAGTCTCGTAATCTGGTGAACCGGGTTCGCGTCTCCGCTCCTCCATATGCAGCTGCTGGGTGACCTTGGGCTAGTCACACTTCTCTGAAGTCTCTCAGCCCCACTCACCTCACAGAGTGTTTGTTGTGGGGGAGGAAGGGAAAGGAGATTGTTAGCCGCTTTGAGACTCCTTAAAGGGAGTGAAAGGCGGGATATCAAATCCAAACTCTTCTTCTTCTAATAATAATAATAATTTATTTACACCCTGCCCACATCTGGCTGAGTTTCCCCAGCCACTCTGGGCGGCTTCCTATCGAATGTTAAAAACAACACAGCATTAAATATTAAAAGCTTCCCTGGGGAAAAGGACGTTGCATCAGTCGTCAACCCAGGAAATCCACCCAGGCTGCCAGGTGATACAGGATGCTTGGGCGGTGGGCGGAGGGGGACGACGATGACAGAGGTGGTTTTGTGTGTGTCGGGTTTAGGCCTGTGCAATACATATCAACACATTGTTTAAAACCGATATTTAGAAAAAAATCGTGATAACCTTATATATCTATCTCTCTCTATATAAAGACCTGGCAAATTATCGTGCATCAAGCCCGGTATTGGAAAAGCTGTATGCTTCCTGCTGGGCAGCCCTCGCTAACTCCGCCTAGGCTCCTCCCTGCGAATCCGGAGCGCTGGCTGATAGGATGGAGCAACCAAGCGCAGCGTTTCCTCCGCCTCCAGGCTGCCTCGCCCCCAGCAGCTGCTGCAGCTTTAGAGAGAGAGAGAGAGAAGCTGGCAAAAGAAAAAATCGGAATCTCTCTGCAGCAAATCTGGTAGGTTGCTTAAGAAGGCTGGTCAGGGCTGGCTCTTTACAAGTCCTGGCTTCCGGAACCCATTTCTCCCCTAAAACCATGAATAAACAAAGCCCCCGTTTTAACCTCTTCCTCTGCCCCGTCTCTCTGTGTGTTTGTCCCCCTGTCTCTCTCTCTCTCTCTCTCTCTCTCTCTCCCCTCCCCGGGTTTGCTTCTGCGAAAGAAGCAGCCCTCTGCCTCACCGGTTTTATTATTAACTAAGCCGACAGATCCAGCCCCTTCGCTGTGCTGCGTTCACCGTGGGCGCTCACCGTCACTGCTGCTAGAATGTTTTTCATAGTTAGAAGGAGAGAGAGACTCGGCTCTGCGTTTGAGACACTGCTCTTCCCTCCCCCCATCTGTGTCTCTCCCCTCCCTCTCATTATGCTGCCCATTTTCTCCTCCAGTGCCGCTCCCTGCCCTAGAACTCTTCTCAGTTCTCCCCACAACCATTTTGTTCATGCATTGGTTCCTGCCAACCTAGCAGTTCGAAAGCACACAAGTGCGAGCAGATAAATAGGTACCGCGGCTGCGGGAAGGTAAACGGTGTTTCCTTGCGCTCTGGCTTCCGTCATGGTGTCCTGTTGCGCCAGAAGCGGTTTAGTCCTGCTGGCCACATGACAACAGAAAGCTGTCTGCGGAGAAATGCCTGCTTCCTCAGCCTGAAAAGCGAGATGAGCACTACAAACCCATAGTCGCCTTTGACTGGACTTGACCGTCCAGGGGTCCTTTACTTTTAACCTTTTACATTTGTTGTAAAGAAATTAATATAATATTAATAACAAATTAATATATTAACATTGATCTATTGCTCTGAAATCTGTAATGGTATAGTTGAAGCATGCTCTACCTCTCTTTTAAATCGGAACCAGTGAAGGCGGTGAAGGTCCTGCGTGAGTGTCTAGAGGCGGTTGGAGGACGCATGGTAGCTAACAGATTGAGGTTGAATCCTGACAAGACAGAAGTATTGTTTTGGGGAAACGGGGGGTGGGCAGGTATGGGGGGACTCCCTGGTCCTGACTGGGGTATCTGTGCCACTGAAGGACCAAGTGTGCAGCCTGGGAGTCATTTTGGGCTCACAGCTGTCCATGGAGGTGCAGGTCCATTCTGTGTCCAGGGCAGCTGTCTAGCCGCTCCATCTGGTGCACAGGCTGAGATCCTACCTGCCTTAGACTGTCTTGCCAGAGTGGTGCATGCCCTGGTTATCTCCTGCTTGGACTACTGCAGTGTACTCTATGTGGGGCTACCTTTGAAGGTGATTCAGAATCTACAATTAATCCAGAATGTGGCAGCTGGACTGGTGACTGGGAGTGGCCGCCGAGACTATACAGCACCGGTCCTAAAGGATCTTCACTGGCTCCCAGTATGTTTCTGTGCACATTCACAAGTGTTGGTGCTAACCTTTAAAGCCCTAAATGGCCTCAGTCCAGTATACCTGAAGGAGTGTCTCCACCCCCACCATTCAGCCCAGACACTGAGGTCCACCTCCGAGGGTCTTCTGCTGGTTCCCTCACTGCGAGAAGCGAAGTTGCAGGGAACCAGGCAGAGGACCTTCTCGGTAGTGGCGCCCGCCCTGTGGAACACCCTCCCATCAGATGTCAAGAAAATGAAGAACTACATAACTTTTAGAAGACATCTGAAGGCAGCCCTGTTTATGGAAGTTTTTGATGTTTGATATTTTATTATGTTTTATATTTGCTGGAAGCAGCCCAAAGTGGCTGGGCAAACCCAGCCAGAAGGGCAGGGTATAAATAATAAAATGATTGATGTTGTTGTTGTTGTTGCTGTTATGCTATCATTGAGTAAATTTCCATACAATTAAATACATCAAAATTAAGAGTTTTATTGTTGTTCAATGTTTCCCCAGGTTATTTGTCTTCAGTATGCCTCGTCATCACCGTGCTGTAGAAGTTCCCAAATACCACCATTTGGTAGAAAAACGAAAAACCAAGAGCGCTGTCTGGATGCATTTTGGATTGCCTGCCGATGAGAGCGGCCGTGTTTTGACTGACAATGGCGCCATTTGCAAAATATGTTTGCATTCGGTATCAGCAAAAGGCGGAAACACCTCCAATCTAAGCAGCCACCTCAAGTTTCACCACCCTCTGAAATTCAGGGAGTTGTCCACACCCGTGGCAGTACCTTCCTCATCAAGAGGCGTTTCCGTTTCTTCACGTACTGGTGCTAATTCGGACGATCCTCCAGCTGTAACGCCGTCAACAGCTAGGGCTGCTGAGCCGGCAAGAACTGCTAGGGAAAGTTCTAGAGGACAGCAGAAAACAGCATTGGATTCCCAGCTGCTCCCTTCTAAGACCTCAAGGACTTGCACTCAGGCAGTCGCGCAGTTTCTGGCTACGTGTATGCAGCCTTACAACACTGTAGAGCACCCAAAATTTATCCAGATGGTGAACACTCTAAACCCGAGGTATCGGTTGCCTAGTAGGAAATACTTCACAACCACGGGAGTTCCAAAACTGTACAGTGACACGGTGGAGAAAATGAAGAGAGAAATACAGCGGCAAAGTGAGAGTGAAGTGGCCATCACTACGGACAGCTGGACGTCAGTGGCAGGCACTCCCTTTGTGGCCGTGACGGTACATTTCATTTCCGACGAGTGGAAGTTGACAAGTGCTTGCTTGGCCTGTAAGCATTTTTTGGAGGACCACAACCCAGATCACCTTTGTGAAATGCTCACAGACACCTTCTCGGAGTGGGACATCGATGTGAAGAAGATATTTTGCAGCACAACGGACAACGGCTCAAATATTCTGAAAGCGGTCAGGCAGCTTGGTTTCGAGCACATTTCCTGCTTTGCCCAGAATATAAATATCGGGGTTAACCGAGCTTTAAGCCTGACACCGTTGAAAAGGGCAATTGGGAAACTGAAGGGTCTGCAAAATAGCATTTGCTGCAGCTGGAAGATGAAGAGGGACCTCGCCAGAGCTCAAGAGCTACTTCAGATGGACCAAGTCAGTTTGCCAAGTGCTTGTCCCACAAGATGGTGGAGTACGCTTCAGCTGTGCCAAAGGTTTCTCGAAAACCAAGTTCCACTCTGCAAGGTACTCACGGAGCATCCATCTAAAGGACTTTTGATGTTGGAAGGGGGTGACGTCTCAGCTGTGCAGGACTTTGTCCGTGCAACTACTCTACTAGAGGATATCACCACAACTCTAAGTGGAAGCAATTATGTCACAGCGTCAACCATTCTGCCTCTTTATAGGCAAATTAAGAAAAGCCTCCAGGCTGATGAGGGAGACAGTGTGCTGCTGAAGGACATTAAACGTGCAATTTTAGGGGCACTGTCAGAAAAGTACGATAGCGCTCCCACGGCAACCACTTTAGGCCTGGCCTCGTTGTGCGACCCGAGGTTTCGCCTGCGTTTCTTAGAGGCGCCAGAGGCCGTCAGGCAGGAGGCCATCAAGAAGATGACAGACTTGCACGGGAGTCTGCATTCTGCTTCTACGGAGCCAAATACTTGCCCTGCTCCACCCAAAAAGAAAAAGGGGCTGGCGAAAATTTTTGACTTGGAGGAAGAAGAGGAGGACCTGGCAGTGGCAGATGGTGAGTCGAAAGCAGAAAAAGAGCTAAAGGAGTATATAGCCATGCCAAGAGTGGACATTGATGGATGCCCTCTGACGTGGTGGAAGGCACACGAGGCTTCCTTCCCAGTGTTGAAGGTGCTGGCAAAGAAGTTTTTGGCTATCCCAGGGACAAGTGTGCCATCTGAAAGTGTGTTCAGCACGGCTGGCAATGTTTTTCAAAGACAAAGGTCATCTCTATTGCCAGAGAATGCTGAAATGCAAATTTTCCTTGCAAAAAACATAGATTTCATGTAATTTTTTTTTTGTTCTGTGAAATTTTATCCATCCTTTCTCGTTTGGCCTGGTTTATAAAAGAAATGCACATTTTCCTTGCAAAAATATATATATATTGTTTAATATATATTTTTTGTTCTGTGAAATGTTTTATCTATTCTTATTAGTTTGGCCTGGTTTGTAAAAGAAACGAAAATTTTCCTATCTAGATAGATAGATTAATATTTTTTTCTGTAAAATTTTAATCATTCTTTCTGGTTTGGCCTGGTTTATTTAAAAAAAATGCACATTTTTGGCAATAAAAATATTGTTTAACAAACTTTTGTTCTGTTAAAATTTATCCCTTCCCTTCTTTCTATTTTGGCCTAGTTTAGAAAAGAAAATTAGCTAACAATCAGATAACTGGTGGGATGTACACACGTTCAATTAAGACTCAATAGTTAATTATATTTGAATATCTTAAAGTGTGATGTTGAATTGGCTTTTTTTCTTGTTTAGTAATGTAATTAAATTTTTAGGGAACATTATCTCACCTCACCTTTTTATATCTATGCTGCTGATTATTTCTACAGCTTTAATTTTAGAGAAATGTGCTAATTCAAACATTACTGGTATGGTAGTTCCATAACACAAGAGTTGTAACAAAATTTAAAGGTTAGCAAAAATTTACCAGTTTTAAAGTTAGACCCGTAAGTATTAGCAGTTGCCAGGTCATTAGCATGTTTAGCTCTACATAGCCCCAGCCTTATTTCAGATATTGTAATACAGTCATACCTTGGTTCCTGAATGCTTTAGGCTCCTGAATGTCGCAAACCTGGAAGTGAGTGTTCCGCTTTGTAAACTTTTTGGAAGCCAAACGTCTGACACAGCTTCCGCGGCTTCCGATTGGCTGCAGGAAGCTCCTGCAGCCAATCAGAAGCTGCACCTTGGTTTTCGAACTGTTTCGGAAGTTGAACGGACTCCCAGAATGGATTAAATTTGAGATCTAAGGTACGACTATATATTGAAATGCCACAATGTTTAGCTGCCTGATATATTGCGATGTTGAGAATAAGCTGTGGCCCAGCCCTAGCTGGATTGCATTCACACAATATTTTCAAAGCACTCCCCCCCCCCAATGAATACTGACAACTGCAGTTTGCTCAGGGTGCTGGGAAATGTAGTTCTGTTGTTGGTAAACTATAGTTCTCAGGATACCTCTCCAGGGCATGCCCCTGGCTGGAATGTTTCATTGCACTGTGATAACTTCTCTTGCTTGCCTGAAGGAAATGCGCAGGCCTCTGTCAGATGTCAAATGGACTTCATCATCTCCCATCATCCTTGACAACTTGGCCTGACTGGGGCTGACGGGAACTGAAGCTGCAACACAGGTCTGCTGGTAGAGTATGCAAAAGATTTCTGCATTGCAGCGGGGTGGACTGGATGACCCTTGGCAATCCCTGCCAGCTCTACAATTCTACGATTCTATGAATCTGGTATCGAGGTTATAGGATCCAGAACAAACAGAAAAACAGGAACGATGAAAATTATGTGGGGAACACTAGCTTGCCCCTTTATACTCTACTGCTGTCATATTCTAAAGAAAAAGAACTTCCCTTAGTTTGGTGAGACTTCATGCTCTGCAGTTTCTAGAAGAATCAGGATTTCACCTCTGTATTTTCCACAGGGCGCCCGCCCTGTGGAACTCCCTCCCACCAGATGTCAAAGAGAAAAACAACTACCAGACTTTTAGAAGACATCTTTAGGGAAGCTTTTAATGTTTAACAGACCACTGTATTTTAATACTTTGTTGGAAGCCGCCCAGGGTGGTTGGGGAGACCGAGCCAGATGGGCAGGGTATAAATAATAATTTATGTATGTATGTATGAATGAATGTATTTTTTATTATTATTTATTATTATTATTATTATTATTATTATTATTATTATTATTATTATATTTTAATGCATCACATTTGAGAAGCACTTTCACGTGATTTGTGCTGATTGTCCATGACAGAGACTCCTTGTGAGGAAATCCTGATATCATAAAGTCAAATGGGATTACCTATAAGATATTGCAACCCAGGTGTATAGTGTGTTGAGCTACAACTACAGTCATACCTCGGCTCCTGAACACCTTGGGAACAATTAAAAACCAGAAGTGAGTGTTCTGGGTTTTCGAAAGTTCTTGTCCCACGGGGCTTCCACAGCTTTCGATTGGCCGCAGGAGGCTGCAAGTAGATAAATAGATACCGCTCCGGCGGGAAGGTAAACAGTGTTTCTGTGCGTTGCTCTGGTTCTCCAGAAGCGGCTTAGTCATGCCAGCCACATGACCCGGAAGCTGTATGCCGGCTTCCTCGGCCAGTAAAGCGAAATGAGCGCTGCAACCCCAGAGTCGGCCATAGTCAGGGGTCCCTTTACCTTTTCATGTCAATGAAGCAGTCCACCCCATTCAGAGCCTGAAGTTGCAAACAGACTCAGATCTCCCCGGGTGTTGCCCAAGATGCAAGCAAGCCAGAAAGAGACGATTGGGTGGGGTTGGGGTGGGTTAGAGGTGGTTGTTTAATTTTTAGCTGGAAAAGCTGGTTTGGGGCAAAGATATGTTCTAGACTGGGATAACTAAGCAGGTAGAGAATGACACTCTTGACATTTGTGTTGGGCAGAAGATTCCTTATACAGTGGTACCTCGGGTTACAGACGCTTCAGGTTACATATGCTTCAGGTTACAGACTCCGCTAAGCCAGAAATAGTACCTCGGGTTAAGAACTTTGCTTCAGGATGAGAACAGAAATCGTGCTCCAGCTGTGTGGCAGCAGCAGGAGGCCCCATTAGCTAAAGTGGTACCTCAGGTTAAGATCAGTTTCAGGTTAAGAACGGACCACCAGAACGGATAAAGTTCTTAACCCGAGGTACCAATGTACTGGGACCTTTATAAAATAACAACATCATTATCAACAACAACAATTTTTATTATTATTTAATATTTATATGCTGAGCATCAGGCTGAGTTACCCCAGCCTCTCTGGGAAATGGATAACTGAGGCAATGTCTTTTTTTGCTTTTTTGTAATGTTTGAACCCATTCCGAGCAAACAAAGTTTTAAAACCTAGTTGTGGGGCTGGAAATTTATTGGTCAGAGAGAGAACTTCTGCTGCAGATATTAATAATTCACAGTGGTCTCCTCCCCACACCAGGGAGCCAAAAGGGGTGGGTGGGAAATGGGTTGGCTCTGGGTGCAATGATAAAGAGGGGGTGTAAAGTTACGCATTTGACCACGAGAAGGGAGGGGGGGGAGGAAAGGATGGGGGGAGGGGAAAGCAGAAAGAGTCTTCGCTCCATGGGACTGAGGATTGGAGTGATCATTCTGTAATATTATGGCAGTGGACAAAGCTATTATTTGAAAAAATGATTTATTTATTTTAAGGTCTCAAATTCAATGCTTTGCATGCAGAAGGTGATCCCAGGTGAAATCCTCCTCAGGCAGAGAGACCCTGTTGGCATCCGTCTGTCTGGGGAGGCGATGGAGGAGGGGGCCTTTGGGGGTGAAGTCCAACTGTGGGCAGCTTCCAGGACCTGCTGTGGCTGCTTCATGTCATGGGCAAATGCTCAATGCCGGCAGATGGAGGAGCAGCTCCAAATGAGCTCTGCTTTCAGCCTCCTATACTGCCTGCTCTTTCTACAGATTTCTGAAAGATGGGCCAATTACGGGGGCAGAGATTCCTCTCTCCTCAGGGAAATGACTCTCCTGAAATCACTGGTGACGCCCATATTTCCCTGTGCCACCTTCCCTCCCCATATTGGTTGTTGCCCTCAACACCTCCTTTATTCTGGCTGCCACCAGGGATTTTATCCCCTTTGCCGTTAATGTAGCCATGAATGAGAAGGTAAGGTAAAACAATGAATTTATAAAACATAAACAACGTAGGATAGTTTAAGGATTACTTTGTGCACATAGGACTATGTGTTTCAGTCTTTTTGCGTTTTCATTGTTCCTTTGTTGCAAGTATAAAAATGGGCTTTATGCTGCTGTTCTTATAAGAGGGAGTTGCACTAGAAGACCAAAGTCCCTTTCAACTCTACAGGTCTATGATTCCAGAGCCAATCCTGCTTCCTAAACACCACTGTTGTGTTCTACTTTTCATAACTCTCCATTCTCAACTCTCTCTGCCAAAGACCAAATATCAACGGACTCTCAGCCCATGTTCACTCACAAGGAGCACTCCTGAGTCACGTTCTGAACATCCCTAACAGTACATTATACCTTTCATTATACTTACTATTATGAGACATAACCTTCATTGCTTTAATACATATATGTACAACGTTCAATACAAACACCAGAACATCGAATGCACTGCATGCATTTACAATTGATTTTTCCATATATGAGCTTGTTGATATGAGAGACAAAGTGAACTCTGTGGGGAAAAACATGGCACACTCCATACATCTCAATGGTTTCTTCCCTGTGAGAGCCTGCAGGTGTTTACCCTTCCATACAAATTGTTGCTTCTCTGTGAGTTTGCTGATGTCTTCTAGATCCATTCTCACTGAAGCACCTCCCACAATCCTTACATCTAAATGTATGAGTTTGTTGATGTATTGTAAGAGCTCCACTCTCAATGAAACCCACCCCACACACCAAACAGCCACCAACATACCTGAAGCCCTGCAACTAATGCAACTCAACCTTCCACCGGAATGGCAACCGCAAACTCACCAAGTGACAGCCACAACCATGACGAAACAACAGCAAGCAATTGGACAACAGTAAAGAAGAAAAAGAAACAACAGAAGCGGCATGACAATGCAAACCAATACAGTCAAGCACCACACACAGAATCATCCTGCCGGCCATAGGACACAAGAAACCACACCAAGATTAACCAAACCAACTCATCACAGATGGACAACCCTACAACAACCCCAGCTGAATGAAGCAATCGGGGGGGGGGGGGGACACAAACTGAAGGACTGGTGATTCTCCCCACTCCTTTCCCCTCCTCTCTCCTCTCCCCCCGACCATAGTTAACTCCATCAACATCCCCCTAGCCCCCCCACCTCCACAGAAATCCCCACCCCAACACCAGTCCAGATGACCTCAAACCACATTCCCCATCACCCAACAACCCATAACCTACACCTTCAGCATCCCCCTACCCCATACTAAGGAAAAACAACTCCTCCAACCTTAAACAACACAACCCACAAACAGGCTAAAATCTGATACCCAACCAGCACAATGGTGGCGCCAGAGCGTACCACATCCCCACCCCAACAT